ACCAACCATCTATCCATCATCCATCCAACCATCCATCCATCATCCATCCAACCATACATCCATCCATCCAACCAACCAACCATCTATCCATCATCCATCCAACCATCCATCCATCTGCCCACCCATCAATCCATCCATCCATCCTTTTATCTGCCCATCCATCCTTTTATCTGCCCATTTATCCGTCCATCCATCCTTTTATCTGCCCATCCATCCATCCACCCTTAGATCCATCCATCCTTTTATCTGTCCGTCCGTCTGTCCATCCATCCATCCATCCATTCATCCAACCATCCATCCGTCTGTCCATCCATCCAACCATCCATCCACCCATCCGTCTGTCTGTCCGTCCATCKATTCATCCATCCATCCATCCATCCGTCTGTCTGTCTGTCTGTCCGGACGGATGGACGTCCATCCATCCATCCATCCATGCTATGAACAGAGTGTACAAATGTCAGATGTACCTCTTTCCAGAGGAAGAGTCCTGTCCGATGTTATAGGCCAGCAGAGCAGCAGAAGGCTCATGAATCATCCTCAGGACATTGAACCCTGCTGCTTCAGCTGCCTCCCTGCAACAAACACACCTTACCACTTAGAAACTTCCATCAGATATACTTTACATTTGTATCATAAAATGGTACAGATGGAAGCAAAAACAGTACTGACCTCAGAGCACACTTCTGACTGTGTGCAAACTCAAAGGGAACAGTAATAACTGTGTCTGTGACATCAGAGCCAAGAGCTGACTGAGCCGTTTCTGTTGAAACATGGATTGATCAGTTTATTGGTCACTTACTCACAGACTGTAGATTTCATATGAACTACCTTTCATTTTGTTGAAGATTTGTTTTGCAACATCCTCTGGTGCAACATGCTGTGTCTGCTCTCCACATGTAATCTCATAATAAGGTTTGTCTTCTTTCTGAATAATCTGCACACAACAAAGAGAGCTCAGACAGGTTAAAGTCAGCAGAATAAACCTGTGCTGCTCAATTAGTTCAATTAAACTGAGGCTCAGTGTGAAAGCAAACCTTTTTTAAACATGGTTTTAAT